TCCCAGCAACCACATGGTGCCTCACAACCATCTTGTAATGAGATCTGGTGCCCTCTTCTGGCCTGCAGGCTGAACACTCACTGTATACATGATAAATAAATAAATTTAAAAAAAAAAAAAAAAAAGAAAATGCCATACGTATATTTCTAATCTTTTTTTTTTTTTTCCAGAGCTGAGGACTGAACCCAGGGCCTTGTGCTTGCTAGGCAAGCGCTCTACCACTGAGCTAAATCCCCAACCCCCATATATTTCTAATCTTGTTCAAGATATTGTACTTATACCGTTCATTTAACAATGTAATGCAATTTGCTGATCCTTGAATGTTATTATTACCAACAATTAGGATATAAAGAAATGAAAGTTAGTAGTTAGACATTACAATAGAACTTGTAGTCATATTAGGTATGTTTTCAAGATCGAGCAGAGATATTTTAGATAGACAGGTCATCTTCAAACCCTTCAGAGATCTACAGAATATGGCATTTAAAATGTTTAATAACTTAGAAATTTTTTCCTTTTTTTATGACTATGAGACATGTCGACTCCTGGCAGTACCAATCTACTTCAGAGAAAATATGGGCATTGAAGAAGCTGCATATGGAGTTAACTTTCATTGTGGCAAAAGTTAGCCACTGTATAACAAAGGATCCTCGAATCAACTGCTGACAAACAGGACAAAATGGACAGACAGGACATGAAACAAAGGACTACCGATTCTTGCCAAGACAGGTGTGGTTGTGGCTTTAGCAACAGGCATCCTCTGAGGCCAGGACAAAATGACACCATCCCTGAAGTGGCCTTTGCAATCTGCAAAAGGTACAGTGCCCCTTTCTTCAAAGGCAGCTGAACTGGCAGTGGACCAATGGCTTGTGCTGTGCAGTGGAACAGCAGCTGAAACAGTTATTCTTGAAAGAGTAACTAAGCTGACTAAGTAACTAACCTCTCAATGGTAGACTGGCATTTAATAAAGGAGATGAAGGCACCCACAAGCTGAGAAGGAAGGGATGTGGAGAAGAATGGGATGCCAAGATGAAGCCACACACACAAGTCAAGAAGAATGGACAGCTGAATTAAAAAAAAAAAATCAACAATTTCCAGAATTTAAAATCCTGAGTCATGACATGACACTAGTGGAATTCAGGTGTTTCTGGTACATGGACTACTCTCACCAAATGTGAGGTTGAACTGTTGGCCTTGTGTACATCCTACTTCACAAATGAGTCTGTCAGATACGCTAAGCCTGTAGTCTGAAGATGATGCCCCAACACTACGGAGAAACCTCGGCTGACTGTCCAGGCAGCTGGCTGTTTCTGTCAACTCACAATTTTTTAGAAGTTGCTTGCATATACTTCCTGTTTTTGTTTTTTTAGGTAATATTATTTCCTTCTTGGGTCTCTGAGGGAGTTGAAGATTAGATCGTTATAATTAAAGTTTAGATAGTTATAGTTTTCCTTGTTAAGAATTTTAGAAAAGAAACCCACTAAAGAGGTGTAAGTGTATAAATTTGAAAGACATTATAAGATAGTTCTGTTAGTAATATAAGTTAGGATAGAAAGTGAATCAGGTACATTTTGGACTTACCAAAATAGGACAGATAATGGAATTATTTTCTCTGAGTTTGTCAAATGCAAATGGACTAGACATTGTTTAGGTATTTATTGCTTGTATATATTGTATATAGTTATTGTACTTTTTGTATATAGTTTTTCTTATATTAGTTATAACTTTTCCCTTTTTTCTTTTTTCTAAAATAGAAAGGGGGAAATATGGTGATATTTTATTTGTGCTGAAATGTGATTTTATTTGTATGTTAATAAATGAAGTTGCCTGGCGGTCAGAGCTAATAGCAAGCCATAGCAGAAGTCTGGCAGTGGTAGCACACACCCTTAATCCAATCACATGACAAGCAGAGTCTGTGTGTTCAAGGATATAGCCAGCATGGAGACACATGCCTTTAATCTCAATACCAACCACAGAGACCTGGAGGTCTGTATAGACAGGCAGTGACTAGGAGGTCATGTGGTTGGCTTTACAACCAATGAGAAGGCAGAATAGAAATTCAATAAAAAGACAGACACACAGGAAGTAGGTCTCTTTCTGAAGGGAAGGACAGCAGCGGCAGCGAAGGGTAAGAAGGTGGTTTTAGTCTCAGCTCTTAGCTACTGCTCTGACCTCTTGGGCTTTTAACTCTGCATTTGGCTCTGTGTTTCTTATTTAATAAGACCGTTTTATGTCTACACTGTGTTACTGTGCCTGTCTTAAAACACCTGACGGTCTAATAAAGAACTGAACGGCCACTAGCAAGGCAGGAGAAAGGACAGGTGGGGCTGGCAGGCAGAGAGGATAAATAGAAGGAGAAATCTGGGAGGAGAAAGAGAAGGAGGAGCCAGAGAAGGAAGAGGACATCAGGGGCCAGCCACCCAGCTACACAGCAAGCCACAGAATAAGAGTAAGATTTACTAAAATGATCAAGTTGGTTTCTATTTCAAAATGAAGGGGACAGGCCAAGTAATGAGCACAGGTCCCCCATGCTCCTCCTTCAGATGTGTTCAGAAACACCAGAATGACAATGAGTGAAATCAGAAACCATCAGGCCTGGTCCGGGACCCAGGACCCCTTATGACCATAACACCAGTGTAAGGAGAAGGGTGAAGGTGCGTGTGAGAAGGCTAGAGCAAAGGGAAGGCTCAGTCACACCCATGGGCACTAGGAAACTGGCTTGAGACAAAAAGGATCCCAGAGTTAATATAGGAACCTAGGGCAGAACTTGCTTTCCTGTTGTCCAATGACACCCACTACAGCAGCCTGGGGTTTGTTCCCAGACAGTCTTGTGGCTCTGTGGCCAAGGACCATGAGCAAGTTGCATCATGGGAGAAAACTTCAGTGTGAGCAGAGACTCAGCAAGGTCTTTACTCCACCAGCTTCTCCAAACCCTTGAGCTCTGCTTTGTAATCCTGTTCTGCAGTGGGGCCGCAAGAATATATTATAGACATTCAGCTGTATATTAAAGCTATACCTAGAAAAGTCAAGGCATTTTTCTAGAGGAAGCCATGTATCAAGGAATGTTTGATGTTATTCAGTTTTTAATGTGTCTGCTGTCTGCTGCTATGAAATTCTTGTGTGCCCATATACTACTAGGTCATATGGCAAACAGTTCAGCTTCTCAGACCTGCTGCTAATCCACTAGGCAACACCCCTGCAGGGCCTAGGAGACAGGCAGTCTGTAGATGCATAGCTTTGTTTCTTGTGCAAATGAAGCTCAGACCTCCCTTCCCCAGACAGGGAAAATGATATTCCAGAGCAATGGACTCAGAACAATGGAGGTTTTTGCATATCCAGGTGGAGTGAAAGGTGGGGCAGGATTCCTGGCCAGGCAGAGCCCCTGGGTGACCTGGGATAAGAAGGAGGCAGAGTTTCTCAGAGCCGGGGTAAGGAGGAAGGAAGGAAAGATGGGGGATGAAGGAACAGAGGACGAAGATGAGGTTGAAAGCATAGGAGCTTAGTTAGGTCTATGACAGGGCAGTAGGTACAAGAGGAGCTATATGTGAGGATGGAGCTGAAGCTGTATAGACAGAATTTTGTCATCGAGAAGTAAATGGACAAAAGAGCGTGGTGGACATAGATTCCTTTCCCTCAGACACCCCCTGCTGGACATAGCGCTTTCCCCAGGACCCTGGGAGGGATTTTTCTCAGGGCAGGCCCTTGGGAAAATTCCCTTACTGTTCTCATGAGTGCGACCCCAAAGCTGGAACTGGAGTGAGGCAGAAGGAAGGAGACTGAAAAAACAGATTCTGACCCAGGTGGAAGACCCTGACTTCATTGGGATCTGGCAGGGAGGAGCCGATCCACCCCTTGAGCTCTCCACAGAGGCCCTCCAAGTCTCCCCGTCTTTGGAAGTGCAGGTGTGAGCTGGGAACCCCAAACCCCTGCTCTCAGCACATTTGGAGAACATCCACTCTCTGGCTCTCTGAGAATGCAGCCATTGCTCTCCAGACCTCTCTGGTCTCTGGCCACCTGGAAAGTAATTATCAGCTCAGTTCTGAAGCCACCTGGCCTGTCCTAGCTGGGCAGGCTTATCTAATCGACCCCACCACGAGAGCAGCAATGTCTCTTTTCAAGCAGCTGGGGACCATGGTTTTCAGCCACAGAACTCCGCTGGACCTCAACCTGGCTGTGTGCAGATGTGCACATGCACTTAGTCAGTGAGAGTTGGGATACGAACTTCAAAACGACTCTTCGGGGTGGTACAATGGCTCAGCTGCACCTGATGACCTGAGTTTCATTACTGGGGACCACATGCTGGAAGGAGAGAACCAAGTCCTGCAAGTTGTCTTCTGACCTCCACACGCGCGCTGTGGTGTGCGTGTACACACACACACACACACACACACACACACACACACACACACACACTCACTACTATACATATACCGGATGAATTTTAAGACTCTAGCCTGTGATGGGGCTACTGTTCTTAGCAGCAAGTAAGATACTATCTTCCCATTTTGTTGAGGCCATTTTCAGAAACTCTTGGCTGAGGAGCAGGTTCTAGACAAGGCTTGGGAGTCGATCTAGCATCTGAATTCGTGGGGCAGGGAGAGCATGGGAACTCAGAGCTACATAAGTGGTTCTGGGGGTGGGGGGATGACAGCATTGTGGAGAAGGCCAACTGCTTGAGACAGCTACAGAGAAACTCCTCAGGCTCAGAGTCTGGAGCTGCAGTGACTAATTTATCAGCCATAGCACTGTGCTTCCCTTACCCCTGCAGGAGACCCACAGAGCAGAAGCAGGGCTGGCAGGCCAAGCCTGGAGTGCTCACGCACACCACTGAGCGAGGGGAAATACCGTGTGGTGAGAAGAGCCCGGGCAGCCTGCCAGGCTCCTCCCCTCCCTGGGCATCCAGTGGGCCACAGCTGGATGCTGCTGTTGACAGCTGCCTCTTCAGTGGGCTGTGAGAGGTCCGATGTCTGGCCTGATGAGGGAAGTCAGGGGCTCTGCCTTCAGGCTGATAGGGACTTTGTGTTGTAGTCCTGTAGAATGTCCTTTGAGGCCTCTTTGTCAGTCAGTGGCTGGCCACTTCTGCATGCACGAGAGCTTAGGGGATGCTGTAGGCCTGAAGGGAAAGTATGAGGCAGTATGCAAAGTATGCAGGAATGAGGATGAGGATGAAGACATACAGCCCGACAATCAGGATCAAGGCCCACACTGGGTAACGGTGAACCACCTCCTTTAACTATGGAGAGACGGGGAGAGGGGGTTAACACCGAAAATTCCCAGGAGAAGAAGAAAGGGTGTGGGGCAGGGAGGAAGGTGAAGGCTAGTGAGTCTTCTGTGATCAGAGCCAAGGGTCAGGTCCTCAGCCCACAGGGGGCTGGAAGGAACCCCAGGATCTGAGAGAGAGTGCACTCACAGTGTTCGAGTCCCAGGCCATGTAGGTGAGGGGCCTCGTGCCTTGCTTAACAAAGATGGCCGCCAACAGGCCTAGGACCACCACTGGGGAAACATCGCACCACAGCCAGCCACAGCCAGGGCAGATGGGGTGGAGGGACAAAGAACATGGGCAGCCAGTCTGGCCTTCCACTACCTCATAGTCCTCGGCTTTGTTATACAGCTCTGGCCTGCTTTATCTCAGTTTACCTCTTCTCATCCTATCTAGTTTAACTTCTAGTCCCCTGCTCCCCAACACCTCCCATGCGGCCCACACCCCTTTCATTCATCCTGGGATGATGTGGCAAAGACCCTTCTAGGTGCTAGGTACCCAACAGTGAGCCACCTAAGCCAAGCAAACAGAATCCAGACACCACTCAGCCCTTAAGAAGTCAATCCTGCCGGGCGGTGGTGGCACACGCCTTTAATCCCAGCACTCGGGAGGCAGAGCCAGGCGGATCGCTGTGAGTTCGAGGCCACCCTGGGCTACCAAGTGAGTTCCAGGAGAGGCGCAAAGCTACACAGAGAAACCCTGTCTCGAAAAACCAAAAAAAAAAAAAAAAAAAAAAAAAAAGACGTCAATCCTGCTTTCTTTCAGCCACATGTTCTCGGTTTCTGTACACGTGCCAGTGAGGCCCTTTGATCTAGGATGCCGGACTCCTGGGTCTTCTTCCCTTTTCTGCCTGTCTGTCTGTCCAGGCTCTGCTTCAGAACATCTTCCCCGGTACTCCTGCCTAAATTTCCATCCTCACCCTCAGCATCTCCCGTTCCTTCCACTGTGGCCTTGGACACCCACTGGGCTGTCTGCACATGTGATGAATTCATCCCAGCACCACACGGGCTCCCACTTCTCTTCCTTGGTTCTGCCTGTTTTCCCTCCACAAGGTGCCTTCATAAAAACAATATATCCAGTGGCGCATAACTTTCGTCCTAGCACTTGGGAGGCAGAGGCAGATGGGCTCCTATGTGAGGGCAGCCTGGGCTACAGCAAGTTCTAGGACAGCCAGGAGACTATAGTGAGACCTTGTCCCTCTTTTTTTTAAAGCTGATGATGGTGCTCCCTACTCAAAACCATTCAGCGTTTTGTGGTACACACTGCACACAAAGCTAGGTTGTATCATGGCTTACACGGTCCCATCTTCTGCCCCCAAATCTCCCAATTCTATTCCAGCTTCCCTGGACCCCTTGTTCCTTAAAAGCTTCAAGCAGGCTATTTCCTCTGGTGTATACACATGCATGAACACTCACATAGATGTGCTCACACATAATATACATGCACACCACATAAACCATGGCTCTCCCTCATTTAATGTAGTAGTCTTCTGACACATCACCCTTCCAGAAAGACCTTCCTTACTACCCTGTCTGAGCCACGCACTCCTACTCTGAACCAGCGGGGCCTTTGACTTCTTCTTGTCTTTCGTCCTGTGTGTGCATGCACATGGATACAGAAGCTGGAGCATGTAGTCAGGTGGTTCCCTCGACTGCTCCGCACCTTAGCTCCTGAGACAAGGTCTCTCACTGAACTTGAAGCTCTCCTGTCTGGCTGTCAAGGCCCTGGGGTCCTCCGCTTTCACCTCACAGTGCTAGGATGGGTGCCGCCATGACATTGATGTGGGTTCAGGGAAGAGACCTCAGGCCTGCCTGCATGCTTGCACAGCAAGGCCTTTACCAGCTGAGCCTCCGCCCAGCCTCACTTGTCATTTTTGGTCTTCCTGTCCGTCAGTCCTGCTGTGTCTGTACCCCTAGAATGCAAGCTCCTGAACACAGGCTGCTAACTTTGGTTTAGGCAGTATCCCTGGCCACCAACAGGCCGTAAAGCCTGAAGCACATGAAACACACAAAAGTCTGATAAATAAACATTTCTCAGAGGCCTTGAAGTTAAGGGCCCTTGTGTCACACTAGTTTATATTAGAAATGACAGGAAAGCCGTCAACCCTCCCAAAAGATCCATGCTCTGGAGGCCTGGCATGGGCCTTTACCTCCTGGCCCCATAGGCCCAGGCTACAGCAAGGTTTTCACATATGATGATGCTGATGATGGGCAGTGCTACCCAGTATTCACTCTGCCGCCAAAAGGAGTAGATGCCTGAAGGTTGGATGAAGAAGAGGCCACACAGGAACATCACCATGGAAACACCCACTGGAGGAAACACTAGGTCTGCACCAGGACGAAGGGGTCTGGAGGATGATGGGTCTGAGGGGAGATCACAGCCAGGGCTGGTGTTAAGGCTGTGGGAGAGCAGGGAAGTACCTACGAGTATCCTTGGCTGTCTGCGGAAGAAGGAGAAGGTGTCCTGGAGTGGAATATTGATGGCCAGCACGAACATCACAACGGCACACAACCCCAGACTCACACAACCCCAGACTCAGCAGCAACAGGCAGAAGAGGACGGTCCAGAAGGCAGACTCAGCAAAGAGCGGGGTGACTTCAGTAAGGGTCAGGCACACAAAGCAGGGCTCCCCGGTCTGCATGGACAGAAAAGTCAAGTTCTCTCTCTGCCTTCTCTAAAAGCTCCCTGAGACCTCCTGGCACACCTAACAGGGCCCCGCCCCTGCAGTCGGTGGAAGGTTCTTTTAGCTGCATTTCCCACATCACCAGAGCTATGTATCGCGATTCTTTCTGGGACTAGTGAAAGCTGAACGCCCTGTGGTGCAGAGCGGACTTTCCGGCATCTCCTTTGCCCTCACCATCTCCACTGACCTTCAGAAATTGCTTCTGGATGTTGCATCCGGGCCCCTTGCTGAGGACAGCGCTCCTCGAGGGCGGTAGGAGGCTGCTGAGCCAGGAACTGTAGGTGGAGGTCGGGTTGTCCCGCAGGTCAGGGGGGCTGCACCTCGGGAGGTAGGACCCCCTGGGCTACCAGCATCGTAAGCGTCTCTGTGTTCCTGGGGATGGGGGTGATTAGCACCGTCAGGCCCTTTGGCACCCCCCCCCCCCCGTCTTACAGAGGAGAGCCATCTCAAGCCCACGTTACTGACTCCGCAAAGGAAAGGATGCGGTGAAATCTAGAGGGTGCCCACCCCAGGGCCATGAAGAACACACGCCCCTGGAGAACCTGGGCAGGGATTTTCTGCAGACTTCCGAGGGACTCTGTGCTCTTGGTCTTCACGATCTTTTGTGAGACTAGTAGGGAAAAATCCGTCTAAGCTCCACGGTTCAGAGAGTGGGGGCAGCTTCCTCAGACTGAAGCCTGTGGCCGGCCCAAGCTGTGCTCTGTGAAAGTACTGTCACCTTGACTCTGACCAGAGCCCTTGCCAAGAGGGAAAGGCAAGCTTTGTGAACGTGAGTGTAGATTGATCGCGTCCTAGAGATTAAAATAGGGTGCTATTCTGGGGACAAGACAGCTACATACTTAGACTAATAGTCTCATTGTGAACAATTTAAGCTGAAAGAGATTTTTAATCTTCTTATGAGAATAAAACTGTTAGCCGGACAGTGGTGGCGCACGCCTTTAATCCCAGCACTCGGGAGGCGGAGGCAGGCGGATCTCTGTGAGTTCGAGGCCAGCCTGGGCTACAGAGTGAGTTCCAGGAAAGGCGCAAAGCTACATAGAGAAACCCTGTCTCGAAACAAAAAGTAAAGCTGTGAACAGGAGGCTGGAAAGGGCTCAGCCACTGATAAGAACACTTGCTGCTCTTTCAGAGCCCACAAGTTTGATTCCCAGCACCCATGTCAGGAGACTCCTAAATTCCTGGGTCTCAGCTCCTGGGCGTCTGATGGCCTCTTCTGCCTTCTCCATCTACATACACACTGAATAAATGAATGTGAAAACATCACTTAATTAAATAAAATATATAAACAGTGGTGTAGAAGCCCAAACCCGTCCCTGTACCATGGCGCCTTTGGTTTGGTTTTTGGTTTTTTTTTTTTTTGAGACAGGGCCTCTCTTCCTGGCTGGCCTAGAGCTCACTATGTACACATTGTTGATATTCTGACCCACCCCTTGGGGCCACCCTGCGTCCTGATGTAGAAGCCTCCCCTTAAGGAAAAACTCCGCCCCTTTCTGTCTGTCTGTATGCTTGTCTGTCTGTCTCTCTCCCTCCACTCCCACGAGGTGTGCATCCTTCGACACCTCCCTCTTCCCTTCTCTCTTTCTCTCTTTTTTCCTACTTCTCTTCGTCTCTCTATTATAATAAACCATTTCCACTCGGATGTAACGTCTGGGTTGTGAATGCCCACCTGCCTCCATGCCCACATGGAGTGTGGTCGCCCACCAGCCCGCCGCTGCATCTGCCCAGCATGCCAGCATGGATACCCTGGCCTGGCCAGCTGGGGTCTTCCCACGCATGCATAATTCATAACACATGACATGAGAAGGCTGCACCTTCAATATCATAGTGAGCCAGATTCTTGCCGCCAGTCCCCCATGGAGCAGGGAATGAGCAGGAGTTTAACAAATGAACAAGACAAGGGGAAACGTGAAGATTCCGATAGGCTAGCTCCATAAGGCAGCCTTAGCTTTAACTCAATTTTTGACTCTGATTATCCACAAGACCAAGACTTGAATTTCAAGAAGTCTCTTTCCAAAGCTCCTGTTCAGAGGAACTCACCTCAATCCTAGGATGTTAAAATCTCCATGACTAAGCCAGACCTAGTACTGTGGGCCTACCAGGTCTTACAGAATCTGAGTCAGGAGGTTCACAACTTCAAGGCCAGCCTGGTCTACACAGTAAATTCCAGGACAGCAGGGCTACATGGAGAGACCCTGTCTCAGAAAAACCAATAAATAAATAAGTAAACATTTAAAAGGGGGACTAGAGACATGGCTCAGCGGTTAAGAGCACTGGCTGCTCTTGCAGAAGACCCACATTCAGTTCCCAGGACCCACATCATGGCTCTCAACTACCTGTACTCCAGTTCCAGAGACTCTGCCACCCTCTTCTGGCCTCCATGGGCACCAGGCATGCACAGTTATACATGTAGGCAAAACACTCATGCATATAAAATAAAAATAAAAGCATCTTAAAAACTAAAAATAAGCCGGGCGGTGGTGGCACATGCCTTTAATCCCAGCACTCGGGAGGCAGAGCCAGGCAGATCTCTGTGAGTTCGAGGCCAGCCTGGGCTACCAAGCGAGTTCCAGGAAAGGCGCAAAGCTACACAGAGAAACCCTGTCTCGAAAAAACCAAAAAAAAAAAAAAAAAAAAAAAAAAAAAAAAACTAAAAATAAATATAGACATAAAGTGAAAGGGGTGGTGTGCCTCTCAGTGGAGAGTACTGCCTACCACCAACAAGGCCCTGACTCCAACCGCTGTAGATTGGCTGTCCGGAACAGAGGCAGGAGATTCTCAGTAAGCTCAAGGCAAGGTCTACATAGCAAGTCCCAGGCCAGTCAGGACCACAAAGAGAGATCCTGTCTCAAAAAGGAGAAAAAGATTTATTATTTTTAAAATTGTGTGTTAGGTATGGCTATGTGTATGTGAGTGCAGGTGCCCACAGAGTCCAGAGGGTGTCAGATCCCCTAGAGCTGGAGTTACGGGCAGCTGTGAGCTGCCAGACATGGGTGCTGGGAACCGAACTTGGATCTTCTGCACAAGTCCTTCTGTTCTTGACTGCTGAGTCATCCTTTTGGCCCCCGTGAGAGAGAACATTAAAAATAAGAGCAATAGAAGTAAACAATTGACAAAATTAGTAAACAAAGGAGAAAAACAACCCAAAGCTGATTTTAAAGTAAACCATAGGTAGCCGGGTGGTGGCGCACGCCTTTAACCCCAGCACTCGGGAGGCAGAGGCAGGTGGATCTCTGTGAGTTCAAGGCCAGCCTGGTCTACAGAGCGAGTTCCAGGAAAGGCACCAAAAAAACTACACAGAGAAACCCTGTCTCAAAAATTAAAAAAAAAAAAAAAACCTAAATAAATAAACAAATAAACTGTAGGGGCTGGAGAGACGGTTCCAGGGGCTCTGGTGCCCTCTTCTGGCCTCCGAAGGCATCAGCCACACAAGTGGCGCCCAGACATCCGTGCAGGCAAAGCCCCATACACATTAAAAATAAACTGTGGCTAAAGTAGACCAACAAATGAGGGAAGAAAGCCCAGTGCTGTGTTCCCTGGGGGAGGCGAGAAACGTTCCAATTAGACGTACAGAGAGGAGCTGGAAGAGGATTCTATGAGCACGAGTACTTGCTCTCCAGGCATGAGGACCCCGCCTGTAACCTCAGCACTGGGAGACAGACAGCTGGATCCCTAGACCTTGCTGGACAGCCAGCCTAGCCAAAATGGAGAGCTTCTAGTTCAGTGAGAGGGCCTGCCTCAGGCGATGCGGTAGACTGACAGAGAAAGACAGCAGACCCCCTCTGGCCTCCACTTGCGTGCACAAGTGCATGTATTGCACGTTCACGTGCACCACAGAAGGAAAGAAGTGCAGACTGGTGGAACATTTTCTGAGTGGTCAGTTCTTAGAGTGCTTTCCACTGAGCATCTGCTTTGATGTGTCTTCTTATGTGTGTAATAACTCACAACAAAGGGTCTGTTTAAAAACACACACAAGGCCTGGGCACTCACTGGTGGCGCACACCTTTAATCCCAGCACTTGGGAGGTAGAGGCAGGAGGATCTCTGAGTTCAAGGTCAACTTGGTATACTAAGCGAGTCCCAGAACATCCAAGGTTATACAGAGAAACCCTGTCTTGAAAAACAAAAACAAGAAAACCCAACAGAACACAATAAAACACAAAGTCATCAAGCTGTCTCAACGGGTAAAGGACTTGCCCTACAAGCCTGGCAACAGTCCCTGGAAACCCATGTAAAGGTAAAGGGGAAAACCGACATCACAAAGATGTCTTCTGCCCTCCACATGTGGGCCATGACATTCCATCTCCCACAGTAAGTACATTCTACAATAACAACTAAACAGCTAAACAAATCACACACACACACACACACACACACACACACACACACACACACACACGTTTTTCGAGACAGGGTTTCTCTGTGTAACAGCCTTGGCTATCCTGGAACTCGCTCTGTAGACCAGGCTGGCCTCGAACTCACAGAGATCCACCTGCCTCTGCCTCCCGAGTGCTGGGATTAAAGGTGTGCGCCACCACTGCCCGGCACACAAATATATTATTGTTTGCCTAACAGATTTGCAAAATTAAGAGGTCCAGCCAAGTTTGATAAAGTGCTGTGCAAACAAAGAGATGAACTTCCTGGTGGGAGGCAATTCTGATTAACCACCGTAGCAATCGGACACGGAGCAGACCCTGCCCAACAACAACTTCTTAGTCTGCCCTGCCCTGTGCTATGTGTCTATGTGATTAGATCCCCAATGGTTGCATTCTGTACTAAACAAGTACAAACCATTCCAACAGAGCTGGGTATGATGGTACACACTGTAAGCCCCGCAGACAGCAGGGTCAAACAGGAAGACAGCTTGTGAGCTCCAAGGCAGCCCGGGCTACAAGCGATGCTGCCCTGAAGCAACAATCAAACTTCTGTTCCCTAAACAGCACAGGTGGAGTCTACTCACAGCAGCGACATGTTCGGGCGCTACTGTCCCCAGGAAGACATGGTGGGACTGTTGATGTTCAGGAGTACATCACACACAGGGACCGGTCCAGCTGCAGGTTATCTCTATGGTTTTTGAGGAGCAACTGCATCTACCATGCAGCGTTCTGGACGTGTGTGCCAGGTGTCACGTGGCTAATTTCTACGAAGGACCACAGGACTCAGGAAGCTAACCAAACTTGGAAGGCGCTGGAAGCCCAGAAAGGCACAGACACAGGAGGCCCCTCCCTGAGATTACACATACAGTCACAATTTCTGGGGAGAGGGGACTCTTCCTAGACCTGCCATCAGGAGGTTCAGGGAGCTCCAGGGATGCCAAGTGTCACCCATGTGTGGCTTTCCAGACACAGCGCTGCCTTTAAGTCACCTGTTCTCCTGTAGGTAATCTGTCACCCATGCTCCCGTGAGTAACCTCGCTGCTTCGCCAGCCGGACCCGGGTGAAACCCTCTTTGGCCTGTTGTTAGTTCCCTGTCTAGGGTGAACAGACATCGGTGTATGTAGTCAGGAAAAGTCGCACAACACCAGCTTCCAGAGGAAAGTAACAGTCATCTGTGGAGATTGGGGCTACTATGGAGAAATCCAACTCAGGTTTGCCTTCTGGGGAAGGCTGGCTCTCTCGGGCCCAAGGAAAGGCCCTATCTTCTCCCAGCTCATGTTATCAGTTATCAGAAATTTATGACTAGCTGGCTTAGTATCCAATTCTCCATTCCTTCTTCCCTCCAGACTGAAAAAAGCAATAAGAGCAAGAAAGGCACTGAAGGAAGTCCAAACTCCTGCGGGGGGCAAAGGGCAGTTTAGAGTGGCGGGAAGCTGTAATGATGGCGAAGAGCAGAGACAAGGGCACTCCTGCACAGTAGGTGGGTTTTGCTGTTGTTGTTGTTGGTTTTTAAAGATTTATTTATTTATTTATTATGTATACAGTGTTCTGCCTGCCTGTGTCCCTGCACACCAGAAGAGGGCACCAGATCTTACTATAGATGGTTGTGAGCCACCATGTGGGTGCTGGGAATTGAACTCAGGACCTCTGGAAGAACGGGCAGTGCTCTTCACCTCTAAGCCATCTCTCCAGCCCCACAGTAGGTGTTTATAGCTAGTCACAGTGGATTACATATTTAAAACCCACAAGGGGGCGGTGTTAATATTCTGACCCGCCCCTTGAAACCCCGCCCTTAGGCACCACCCTGTGTCCTGACGTAAAAGCTTCATTTTAAGGAAAAATCCCTCCCTTCCTCTCTCTCTTCCGCTCTCTTTCTTTCCCGCCATGAGGTGCGCACACCTTCGCTTTTCCTCTCTTCTCCTCCATTCCTCGCTCCCCTCCCTGTCTTTCTGTCTCTTTATCTCTATATTATAAACTCTCTCCACGCGGATGCAGCGCCTGGGTTTGTGAATGAATGGCCGCCGCGGCCATGCCTGCATGGTGTGTCTCGCTCCCTGCCCGCGCTGCATCTGCCGAGCATGCCAGCATGTTTCCCTGCACAGGCGGGATACCCTGGCCAGCTGGGGTCCCCCGCGTGAATATATCACAACAGGCGGGAGAGAGGCATCATTAAGAGCACTTGTTTTTCCAGAGGACCCAGATTCAGCTCTCAGCATCCACATGGTGGCTCACAAGCATTGGCAGCTCATTTCAGGAGATCTGACACCCTCTCCTGACCTCCACAGGCAGCAGGCACACTCACGGAGTACATATATCAATGCAGGCAAAACACTCATATACACGTGAATAAACAAATACGTAAACCTTTAAAAGAATAAAAATAACTAAAGAGCTGGGAACGGTGACACGCAGCTGTAAACCAAGCTTTGAGAAGTTGGAGGAAGGAGGATCAGGAGTTCAAGGCCAGCCTGGGCTAGATAGGAGTTCCAGGGCTATATAGTGAGACCCTGTCTCAAAAAGCAAAACATCCTGAGGGAACTTTGTTTTCACCACAAAGAAATGATAATGTCTGAGGTGAAAGTGTGATCAATACTCTGATTTTATCAATATGCAATGTACACATATATCACAATATCCTCCATGAACTCAATGGGATTAGAATGTGTCAATAAGACCAAAATGAGATGAAGAGCTGGTGGACAGTCCTAGCCAGGAAAGAGAGAATCCTCAGGTCTCTAACCCTTTGGAGTTTAGGTTTGCCAGATGGGGAGAACACAGACTTGCATGCATGGTTCTGTGAGGTGTGGTCTCAGATGCTGTTCTCTGTGTGGGTGACCTTTGCATGCCTGCCATTTCCAGCACCTGTTAGCACATCAGCTCCGAGGTGGGGGTTGGCAGCCTCGAGAACTCTCTAATGTTAAAAGTGAAGGACTCTGGCCTCTGTTCTCAACTAAGAAGAGGCAGAGCTTTTTAGCCTCCCTGAAGTTGAGGTGTATGAATGGGTTGTGAAGCTGCCCAGGCTAGATCTCACCGGGGAACTGGCCTTACTTCTTACAGCAGCAATGTGTGGTTATGGTGGCCCAGAAGCCCAGGATGGAGAGGATGACAGGCATGGTGGACAACAAGGTGAGCATCTTGATCAGAGCCATAAGGAAGGCATCCCCCAAACAGTTGCTGAAGTCAGGCACATGTGAGGATAAGTAGACGATGGGGCCAAAGCCTAGACCCATAGCAAATGCAACTTGGATCCCTGCTTGGGACCACACAGTGAGGCTGTCGATGCTTGCCACCTAAAAAGGAGAAGACAGGTACCACAGGGACATCATGATTTGGAAAAGGACAGCCATAGCAGAGACATCTTCTCCTCGAAGGGAGGAGGTACAGGAGACAATGGCAGGCAGCTGTGTGGTTCTGAGAGCTGAGGAAGCTGAGGAAGGACCCCACCTTGAAAATTAGCAGGTGTTTAAGCCCATACTCTATGCCCTCCATTGGCAGAGTCCAGAAGAGGAAGGAGAAGATGATGAAATTCCCACCAACAGTGGAGGAGTGTTCCCTTCACATTCCCACCAACAGTGGAGGAGTGTTCCCTTCGCATTCCCACCAACAGTGGAGGAGTGTTCCCTTCGCATTCCCACCAACAGTGGAGGAGTGTTCCCTTCGCTCCGCATCCTCTCCAACACTGACTGTCATTAGTGGTTTTTTTTTTTTTTTTTCTAATGCCGAATGCTGTTTATTGAAGGAGGGAAGAGGTCTTAAATACAGGTTTACAGCACAATGGGAGAACCCCAGAGGGCAGAAGTTCGCTACAGATGTTTTACAATCTTGCATCTAAGCTGTTAATGCACTGGGCTTGCAATCTGTGTGTTCGACACAGAAAAGACCAACAGAGGTCCTATCCCACCCATAGCCAGCAGGCTAAAGGCAACTGAGCCATTCCCTTCCTTAACGAGCCTTACTGCAAATTAGAGTCCTTGTAAGATGGTATCCCAAAAGCAAATGGAACTTGAGTTTATAAATTTGCAACTTTCAAAGCCAATCGAAATGTATATAACTATTGAATTAAATTTATCATGCCCAATAGAATGGAAGATTAATTAACTGTGGTAGCTTCTTTTGCTACCAGGGTCTCCACTGTGCTAGCTGTAGGAAGCAATTATGAAATGGCAATCCCAGAAACAGTAGCAGCGGTGGCCGCCTCTGCTATAACAACAACAGCAGCAGCAGCAATGTCAAATTCTCTTCTGGAGTGTGTGGACATCCACTGGCATGGATACAACTCCAGGAACACGAACCGCCAAGGCCCATTTTTCTTGATCCCAGCAGGACTTAGGCTGGCAGCTCTTCTGGAGAATCCAAAAGCATGGCTACAGTTCCTAGGCTTACATTAATGCTTGCCAAAGCTGGCCATATTGGGCTCTCAATCCCCATTGGCATCAGAAGGGTAGAGGTTTTCATTAAGGCCCAATAGGTCTCTGTCATGTTGGGTTTCAGCAGCAGCCACAGGGCACACACAGCGCTCAGGAATCCAAAGAGGAACCTCATTGTCCTGAGGAAAGGCATAAACAGAACCCCGACCCACACCAACACCAGATTGGGTCTCCTCCAAGTGCCAGTAGAAAGATCCTTCCATCGCTCCAGAGGGTGATTTGCAACAGGAGCCCTCCAGTGCTTATCTGCAGCGGATACTCCAGCAGAATCCACCGATAAAAAATTTAAAATATATAAAACAAGAGAAAGAATAGAATGTGGAGAGGAATGATGAGTCCCCAATTCCCCCTTTTTTTACTCCAGCAAAATACGTTTGTTTGGCTCCTTTTTAAACAGTTCAAATTTTTCTTTTTTTTTTTATTTTTTTCATTTTTCACTTTTTCAAATTAATCAATTTATCCACCTTTCTATTACCAGCTTGATACAGTATGTATTCCCATCTTAATTGTGAAATGTTTCATTGAGGCTTGCTCAGTAATTGAGTAAAACCAAAACTTAATATAAGCCACAGTCGTCCTAGGGTCCCCCATGCTATATATATAGTCTCCATGGTTCTGTGGGTTGTAGTCTGATTGTTCTTTATTTTATATCTAGAATCCACTTATGAGTGAGTACATACCATGTTTGTCCTTCTGGGTTTGGGTTACCTCACTCAGGATGATATTTTCTAGTTCCATCCATTTGCCTGCAAATTTCATGCTTTCATTGTTTTTCTCTGCTGAGTAGTACTCCATTGTGTATATGTACCACATTTTCTTAATCCATTCTTCAGTTGACGGGCATCTAGGTTGTTTCCAGGCCCTGGCTATTACAAATAGTGCTGCTCTGACCATAGTTGAGCATGTATCTTTGTGGTATGATTGAGCATTCCTTGGGTATATGCCCAAGAGTGGTATGGCTGGGTCTTGAGGTAGTTGGATTCCTAATTTTCTGAGAAACCGCCATACTGATTTCCACAGTGGTTGTACAAGTTTGCACTCCCACCAAAGTGGAGAAGTGTTCCCTTTGCTCCGCATCCTCTCCAACATAGACTGTCATTGGTGTTTTTGATCATAGCCATTCTGACAGGTGTAAGGTGGTATCTCAGAGTCGTTTTGATTTGCATTTCTCTGATGACTAAGGATGCTGAGCATTTCTTTAATGTCTTTCAGCTGTTTGAGATTCTTTTGTGAATTCTCTGTTTAGCTCTTTAGCCCATTTTTAAATTGGATTGTTCAGTATTTTGATGTCTAGTTTCTTGAGTTCTTTATATACTGTGGAGATCAGTCCTCTGTCAGATGTGGGGTTGGTGAAGATCTTGCCCCATTCTGTAGGCTGTCTTTTTGTCTTATTGACCATGTCTTTTGCCCTGCAAAAGCTTCTCAGTTTCAAGAGGTCCCATTTATTAATTGTTATGCTCAGTGTCTGTGCTGTTGGTGTTATATTTAGGAAGTGGTCTCCTGTGCCAATGCGTTCAAGAGTACTTCCTACTTTCTCTTCTAGGAAATGATTCTTAATTAAGGATTCACTGAGTTCAAACTATCTCAGAGAAGACTTTCATTTCTACACCCTCAAAACACATACCGCACAAATACCACATACCTGCTGTACATACACGTACCACACTTATACCACACATACATGCACCATACATCCCACAGAAGGGCATCATGTACCATACCTACATGTACCACATCCACATATACTGCACACAGGCTCCACATGTACCACACATGTACATCACATACACTAAACACAGGCATCACATGTCGCTGTTTGTCCAGGCACAGGTATGTGGGTTTCATGTGGATCCATGGAAAGAAGACTCAGAGGCATCTTAAGTATGAATCTAGCCTTTCATGGCTGCAGGGGGTCCAGCCTCGAAGGACTGAAGCCCTTTCTCTTCGCCTAGGGCAGTTTTATTTCTTCCTATTACAGTTTAGCCAGTTAATTTTCTTTCTTTCTTTTTAAGGTTTATTTATTTATTTTGTATACAGTGTTCTGTCTGCATGTATCCCTGCAGGCCAGAAGAGGGCACCAGATCTCATTACAGATGGTTGTGAGCCACCATGTGGGTGCTGGGAATTGAACTCAGGACCTCTGGAAGAGCAGCCAGTCCTCTTAACCTCTGAGCCATCTCTCCAGCCCCAGTTAATTTCCATATGCTCAAAACAACCTGAAAGCAGCTCCAACAAAACAATGCCAAGTGCAAATTCCTGATTGTCAGGTACCACGGTTTCCCGGGTTTCCTGAACCAGGTTTTGCATAGGCCTTTGATCCTTGGGAAACTCTCAGACAAGATTCACACTGGGCGATAAGAGAAACAAAAGGTGTCGGCTAAACAAAAGATGGATGGATTACGGCTAGGTGCTACTCTCTGGAGCCAGGCCGGGTGCAGCTCAGCAGGAATGCAGCCGCAGTCACATGTACCACGCACACATACATCACACACACGAAACACAGGCATCTCATGTGTCACGACCCTCAAATGCATCACAAACACATGTACTGTGCCCCACACCCATACCATACCAATATGTCCCATACACACAAGCACCACACACACAGCAACCACACATCACACAAGGATGACTTAGCACACCCACACCTACACATGCACCACATGGACACATATGCACTGTACCCACCCACCACACAATAGCCTCACACTCACTTCTTTTTTTTTTTTTTTTTTCCGAGACAGGGTTTCTCTGTATAGCTTTCTGCCTTTCCTGGAACTCACTGTGTAGATCAATCAGGCTGGCCTTGAACTCACAGAGATCCACCTGCCTCTGCCTCTGAGTGCTGGGATTAAAGGCGTGTGCCACCATCGCCTGGCTACATACTCACTTCTTACATGATTTTTTTTTACTTCAAAATGTTTTAACACAAGGGACAGGGGTCTGGTCAGCTAAAGTTAATAGGCAGGAAGGTGGGAACAACACCAAGGATTTCTGGAAATAGAGATATACACCCTTCAAAGCTCACCTGTCTTCCATTAGCAAGTCAGTCTCCAAGAGGCTAAGGCAGGAGGATTGCCATGACTTTGAGGCCCACCTTGGACTGCTGGGAGGGAGGGAAGAAGGGAGGGAGGGGGAGGGAAGAAAGGATGGGGGGAGGGAGGAGGGAGGGAGGGGGAGGGAAGAAAGGAGGGGGAGAAGGAGAGAGGGGAGTAGGGGGAAGGGGGAAGGGAAGGAGGAAGGGGGAGGGAGGAGGGAGGGAGGGGCGGGGGGGGAGGGAGGGAGAGAGGGAAGGAGGAAGGGGGAGGGAGGAGGGGAGAGAGGGGGCGGGGGGGGGGGAGGGAGGGAGGGAGAGAGGGAAGGAGGAAGGGGGAGGGAGGAGGGGAGAGAGGGGGCGGGGGGGGGGGGAGGGAGGAAGGGAGAGAGGGAAGGAGGAAGGGGGAGGGAGGAGGGGAGAGGGGGGAGGGAGGGGGCAGGGAGGGAGGGAAGGAGACTCTTCCCAGTGGGCTTTTGTTTGCTGTTTTCATAAGAAAGGGATTACTATGCAGCCCAGGCTGGCCAGGAGTTGGCCATGCTCCTGCCTCTGCCATCTAAAGAAAGGCTTCGAGAAGCCTGCTTTACCTCTGCCAGCCTTCCCATCTGTCACACTCCAGCTCAGCTCCTCACAGTCTCAGGGAGGAGTCTGAGCCTCCCTCCCTCCCTCCCTCCCTCCCTCCCTCCCTCCCTCCCGCCCGCCCACTTTCGCTCTCCTTCATATCCGTCCTTGCTCTTGTCTGGGTCACCGCTCACCTCTGCCTCCTGCTCTACCCCAACTGCGAGCCAGAGGATGGTCCTGCTCCTCACGTCTGGGGAATTGCTATGACCCTGCCACTCAGACCTCCGTTGGTTCTTCAAATGTTCCTGAGACAGAGGGCAAGGAGTGTGCCGGAAAGGAAAAAAGAGGAATCTGTGAAAGAACAACGTGACTGACTCAAGCAAAAATGATCAGGCTGTGGGCGGCTCAGTGGGAAAGTGCTCGCCATGCAAGACGAAGATCTGAGTTCGAGCCCAGGACCCACATAAAGCCTGGACATGGTCGCGTTTTTG